CCTGCGGCGCAGGAGACATTCGGCTTGGCATTGCCATGCCAGGCAAAATCAGGCAATTTCGACCTGTGCTGGAGGTGACATTGGGCTTATCAGGCTGTGGCACTTGCCTGGCCGGTTACAAAGCACTCTACCTGCTGCCTGTTTCGACCTGCGCCGCAGGTCACATTTGGCTTGCCGAATAGCAGGCAATACTGCCCCGACCTGCCAGAGTTGCTAAAGGCTTGAATACCCTTGGCACTTGTCTGGCTTGCTGCTGCCTCTTTCGGCTTGGCATTGCCATGTCATGCAACGTTCAAAATATCAGTTCCAACTAACAAATGAGCGTGTTTTAGGCAATGCTCATGAACAGTGCGACACCGGATGGCCGCGCAGTGCCGCATCTCGTGGTATAGTATAAAGGCATAAATAGGCCAAACCGAAATGACACGCTTCTTTGGGACGCAATGCGTCAAGTTGTCCTGCTCCAAATGACCCAGTCCTTTTCACTATGCATCGCCACGAGGTGCCACATCATCTTCACTCACATGCGTGTTCCAGCGTCACTTCGTTGAGCAGAGCTTTGGTATACATCTATATGTTGAAAAGAATATCTATTGAGCGACGGAAGGCTATCGCAGCACGTGTTGCTGCATAGCCTGGATGATCATTCAACTTTGGCTTGCTGCAGCATGAGCAAGGGCATAGTGACATCTTTTGCTGCAGCAGTTGCGGCTTGCCATGGGGCCATCAGCAGCCGAAAGCAATGCGGTGACACGCACAGTAGTAGCGTAGGGATCCGCGGGGCAAATGAACTGTTGTTTTAGCACAACTCACGGAAGCCCATGCTTGACAGTGCGTCACACTGGTTTGCCAAGAAAGTTCTTTGGACGCACACAAGCTCCAGACGAGCAATCTCTTGTCACTATACATCCCTGTGACGTTGCTTCGTCTGGATTCACATGCGCTTTCCAGAAATGAACCCCGCTTGCAGTCCTGAAAAAGGTGGTGAACGTCCGGAGTGGCCAACCCTTTTGGACAAGCATCAAAAAAACATTAGCAATGGAAAAAGACATCTCAAGCAGTTTTAGAAGACTCTGCTGTGCTCTACTCGCCCTACTGAAGGCCCAATATTGCGTGCGTGAAATCTTGGTAAGCATGCTCGTCCTCGTAGTGCCCATTCTGACCGCAAAATGAGGCTTGCAGCAAGCCGCCGCAAGCACTGCGGTGACACGCACAATAGTAGCATAAGGGACCCCTGCCTTTGAAGGCACTGCAAAACCGCAAAACCAAGGATTTGCAGTGCGTCACACCGGTTTGCCAAGAACAGACGAGCAAGCTCTTGTCACTATACATCACCCTGTGATGTCCCTCGCCTTGAACATTCCCTGTCCAAGCCTCCTTCTTGTTCGCAGTTCTGCAAAAAGTGGTGAAAGTCCGGAATGGTAATTGAATTTGATTCTCAATGGCAACGCTCAAGCAGTTTTTGGCAGAGCCTGCGCCCTACTTTTGCTACTGAAGGCCCAATATTGCGCATGTGAAATCTTGGTATGCGCGCTCGTCCCTGTTGCGCCCACGCCGTGGGGTTGCAACATCCGCTCACGAAGCCCACGCTCTGGCTTTGAAATGGCGCGGCTCAAAACGCTCAATTGACAGTGCCTCACACTGGTTGTTTGTTTTTTGGGCATTCCCTGGATCGATTGCAGAAAGCTGGGCCAATTGGGGTACCAGAAACAATTTGCTCATCCGGAGCAACACACTGATGATTGACTCAAGGTCGTCAGGCTTGGGCGGGGACATCTGCTGAATCAAGGCAGGTGTGAAGATCCGTGCTGGTTTCTTGCCCCCCCAAACCCGGATCCTGGTATCACATCATAACGAAGTCAGGCAACATGACCTGATCCCGCTCGAAATGCAAACTCCACTTGCAAGTGTCCTAGCTGACAAAACCGAGTCTGGCCAAATGCAGCTTCGCCGTACCGCTTGCCATCAGGCGCAGACCTCGTTTGGACACACGCAAGTTGTTTGAGTGTACCCTTTTGGTGTGGTTTCCAGGTGCTGCAACAGGGAAACCACAAGGAACGCCAGAATTTGCGGGCCCCCTTATTGCAATTCCATTCCCTTAGGTTTTCCAGCTTCGCCAAGCCCAAGAAACAAATTTGAAGATGCTTGGAAGAACTGGTGTTCGGCCACGTTAGTTGCTGGTAAACCCTTAGTCAGTCCCTCTAAGTGGGGCTCTGTCGTAAGGGGGTTTTCCCCCAAGTGGCTAACCACTTTCTCACTTGGGCGAAGTTCCAAGCAGTACATTCGCCTGCCGCAGTCTTCAATAGAACCAACTAGCTGCAACCAAAGTGGAATTCCGCGTGTGTGTTTGTGCCCATGTTCTTGGCGAGGTTCTCTTTGAAATCCATTCACCTCTAGAGGGTGAACTGGTGCTACAAATAAGGTGGCTTGTGGTGTGCGCATGGGAGGCCCTGTAGCCTTGAGTGAAGGACAAGGGACCAAATTAAAGTGACACAACGGCTACTCACTGCGCAAACGGAGGACCCCACATTTCGTACAGTGCCAGAGCAAGGCCAACGATCAAATGGGTCAATCCAACAGCTGCAGCTTCACTGGGGACTTTGAAGTATCACATATGTCACCCGCACCCCAAATGCATAGTGAAACAAAACGTCAAAACCGGGGTAAGCATGCCGCATAAACCAGCACCTATGCTGATCAGCCAACACGCTTCCCAATAACCTGCTTGCCTTTGCGAAACGGGGATTGTCCGATCGTTCTTTGTTTAGGGTTCCTGCAACTGGACTCATTTGGATGGGAAGGCTCATAGCTGACAGATAGCCTTTAAACTATCTACTCTTACACTGTCTCCAAACGTCTGTTGAAAGTGCCACATCTCAACACTGCCTTTGCTGTGACTTGAAGGGTGTGGGACCACGAACAAGCGTAGGACAGCGGTGAATTGCTTGGGTTTGAATCAGCCAGCCCGCTGGCCCCACAAACAGAATGACATGGTTTTCCTCGTGGCCCTTTGAACCTCAACACATCGGAGCCCCAGATAAACGAGTAAGCCTTGTCAAGCTGACACATCGCAGGTCTCAAAAGGTTCAATGGCTTGTGTCAGAAAGGGGTTGTCTAAAAGCTGGGGGCCCAAACAGACCAGTCAATTTTTAAATCACGCACTCCATTCTGCCACCTTTCTCAAGCTAGCCCCAGCCCCCCAGTAACGCCCAACCAAATACGAGGGCTGACCCAGTTTCTTGCGTATTTAACTCCTTTATAGAAACGACCAAACGGGCTTCAATTGCCACTCCACGCCTACACAGTGCTTGAAGACCCCAGGTAGGTTTGCAACAAATGCTCAAACAACTAGGTCCTGGCGACTTGCAAGTGTCCACCCGAAAGACATGTCAAGTCGTTCACAAAAACAAGCTTAGCTCAATGCGGGCAAAAACCGCATGTGGTTGAACGACGGATCCTCCGGTCGCGAACGACGCTTCGCTTCCGGAGGGCCCCCCTACACTTCGGCCTTGTCGAAGTCGTCATCCTGGTCTGCCATCGACATCAAGCGCGCGAGCCTTTTGTCAAGCTCGCCCGTCACGGCCTCTTTCCTGGGAAGAAGTCGCGACGCACTTCAAGTTCTTGGGTCGGTCAAGCTGTGATGTGGCCCAGGAAACGCACAATCAGCTAGGGGCTGTTGCGCCCCAGGCAAACAGCCGAACCCTTTCGACAATCTTGGGGCCTTCCTTTTCGGCACGAAAGGAAGGCCCATTCGGGGCAGGTCAAGCTGTCAAGCGAACAGCCAAACCCTTGGGGCATTCAAGCTGTGAAGCGAACAAGCGAACTCTTGGGACCTTCACCGTTTCCGTAGCAACACGCAACACACTCGGGCCCTTGACGCAGGGCATTCAAACTCTCAAGCGAACAGCCAGTCAAGCTGTCAAGCGAACAGCCGAACTCTTGGAACCTTCACTTTTGCCGCAGCAAAACGCAACACACTCGGGCCCCTGACCCTGCAGGGCATTCAAACCCTCAAGCGAACAGCCAAACCCTTGGGGTATTCAAGCTGTCAAGCGAACAGCCGAACTCTTGGGACCTTCACTTTTACCGCAGCAAAACGCAACACACTCGGGCCCTTGACCCTGGGGCATTCAAACTCTCAAGCAAACAGCCAAACCCTTGGGGCATTCAAGCTGCCAAGCGAACAGCCGAACTCTTGGGACCTTCACTTTTACCGCAGCAAAACGCAACACACTCGGGCCCTTGACCCTGGGGCATTCAAACTCTCAAGCAAACAGCCAAACCCTTGGGGCATTCAAGCTGCCAAGCGAACAGCCGAACTCTTGGGACCTTCACTTTTACCGCAGCAAAACGCAACACACTCGGGCCCTTGACCCTGGGGCACTCTCAAACATTCAAGCTGCCAAGCGAACAGAACTCTTGGGAAACAGCCAAACCCTTGGGGCATTCAAGCTGCCAAGCGAACAGCCGAACTCTTGGGACCTTCACTTTTACCGCAGCAAAACGCAACACACTCGGGCCCTTGACCCTGGGGCATTAAACTCTCAAGCGAACAGCCAAACCCTTGGGGCATTCAAGCTGCCAAGCGAACAGCCGAACTCTTGCAAACAGCCAAACCCTTGGGGTATTCAAGCTGTCAAGCGAACAGCCGAACTCTTGAGACCTTCACTTTTGCCGCATCAAATCGCAACACACTCGGGCCCTTGACCCCGCGGGGCACTTAAACTCTCAAGCGAACAGCCAAACCCTTGGGGCATTCAAGCTGCCAAGCAGCCGAACGGACCTTCACGTTTGGCCCGTAGGGCTGTCAAGCCATGACAACTCTTGGGACCTTCACTTTTGCCCAAGCAAAGCGCGACACACTCGGGGCCCTCGGGCTTCTGGGGTGTTCTGTCAAGCGAACAGCCGAACCCTTGGGACCTCGACATTTCAAGGCCTTCCGGAACCCTCTTCCCACATACCTATCCCAGCATCTGCTCGGCTACCCCTACCCCGAGAGGTCAACTTGTTGGTAAATGCCTCGGTAGCGCGTGACTTCGCCTGCAGTGCAAACATCTTCTGATTCAGAAAGCAACAGCTGGTTTAGCAGCGCCTTTAGGGTTTGCCGTAGGGTGTGGTTCGATGAGTTGTGGGCGAGTTTTGGTGGTGTGGGGCAACGCTCCAAAACCGATCCTAAACGAAACCAAAACCGATCCGAATCGAAAGCTTGCGACAAAGCAAGCTTGTGACTGATTGCCCTCACTTTGTTGTAAAGAAGTTATCTTAAATTTGATGTTTTGGGAACAACTTGCAAAATGGATTTCCTAAATCTCAGGCCTTTAACCTTTGAGCTGGGGAAAGCTTAGGATGAGCCTCCCCTTTAAAACTAAAAGGCTAAGGGTTTGATTTGTCAGTTTTCAGCAACCCCGAAAACCAGGTGGAAATTAAAGAGGACCCCACAACAGTCACACTAAAGAGGGTCAGGGCATCCTGTGGGCACCCCCCTTTGTGTGACTGATTGCCATCACTTTTGTGTAAAGAAGGTATCTTAAATTTGATGTTTTGGGAACAACTTGCAAAATGGGTTTCCTAAATCTCAGGCCTTTAACCTTTGAGCTCGGGAAAGCTTAGGATGAGCCTCCCCTTTAAAACTAAAAGGCTAGTTTTCAGCAACCCCCAAAACCGGACGGAAATTAAAGAGGGCCCCAAAACAGTCATACTAAAGAGGATCAGGGCATCCTGTGGGCACCCCCGTCTGTGTGACTGATTGCCCTCACTTTTTTGTAAAGAAGGTATCTTAAATTTGATGGTTTGGGAACAACTTGCAAAATGGGTTTCCTAAATCTCAGGCCTTTACCCTTTGAGCTGGGGAAAGCTTAGGATGAGCCTCCCCTTTAAAACTAAAAGGCTAAGGGTTTGATTTGTCAGTTTTCAGCAACCTCCAAAACCAGGTGGAAATTAAAGAGGACCCCAAAACAGTCACACTAAAGAGGGTCAGGGCATCCTGCGGGCACCCCGCTTTGTGTGACTGGTTGTCCTCACTTTTTTGTAAAGAAGATATCTTAAATTTCATGGTTTGGGAACAACTTGCAAAATGGGTTTCCTAAATCTCAGGCCTTTAACCTTTGAGCTGGGGAAAGCTTAGGATGAGCCTCCCCTTTAAAACTAAAAGGCTAAGGGTTTGATTTGTCAGTTTTCAGCAACCCCGAAAACCAGGTGGAAATTAAAGAGGACCCCAAAACAGTCACACTAAAGAGGGTCAGGGCATCCTGTGGGCACCCCCCTTTGTGTGACTGATTGCCATCACTTTTGTGTAAAGAAGGTATCTTAAATTTGATGTTTTGGGAACAACTTGCAAAATGGGTTTCCTAAATCTCAGGCCTTTAACCTTTGAGCTGGGGAAAGCTTAGGATGAGCCTCCCCTTTAAAACTAAAAGGCTAGTTTTCAGCAACCCCCAAAACCAGATGGAAATTAAAGAGGGCCCCAAAACAGTCACACTAAAGAGGATCAGGGCATCCTGCGGGCACCCCCCTTTGATTGTCAGGGCTTCGTCAGGTCCAAGCTTGTGAGCAAAGAATGAAAGCCTCAGCAGAAGCAGAGACAATGGTGGGCAGCCTTGAGTTCACCTTGCCTCGGAGAACCAACTCAGTCTACCAAAAGCAGGGAATTCTTGATTGTGGCTTCTTTGTTCTGGGTTGGATGGAGGAAGAGCTGAGGGCTTCCAGAGGTGAGTGGCTCAGAGCTTGGATTGAGCACAGCCTTGTGGAGAGAGAGGCTGCTGAAGCTCTTCCAACACTTAGCCAAGGAGAGGGCTGCCATTGAGAAAGAGCTTGCGCAGCAAAGAAAAACCATTGAGAAGCAGGAGTAAGCAGCTGGAAAACAAGGCAGCAGCTGAGGCCAGGCTGGAGCAAATAAAGAACAAATCCTCAACAGCAGCTGAGGCAGCCAGGGTAGCAATCAAGAGGTTCAGGGGGCAAAGGCTTTTTAGAAGATCCCCTTTTCAGGACTGTGCGCAGTTTAGAAAGACTGAGATTTGAGACTGAGAAGATGTGGCCAAGTTTTTGAGTAAGGTTAGTTCAGAACTAGTTCTTAGCTTAACAGGAGCTACCAAGGCTTAGCAAGTTTAGCCTGAGCCCGAGCAAATCCAGAAAGAGAAGAAAGAAGCTCTGCGTTTTGGGTTTTTGTGAGGGGGGCAAACAACTTTCCACAATAGAGAACCCTTAAAACAGTCCAACGATTCTGAATTAGAAAAAACATCCACAATAGAGAATTATATTAACAAAGGAGGTCCAACACTACACGCATTGGAATCAGTTGAAGCAATTTCTCATCTACATCTTCCTGTGTCACTTTTGCAGGGGATTGACCAAACAAATCGCTCAACTTTGTAGTTTGCCCCAAGAATAGTCTCCAAAAAAACAGCTATCTCTGTGCCTCACGCGCACGCATCGCGCCTCAGCTCGTCCCTGCATGCCCTGAGGAGCGGGCAATGCCTCCAGCGACGCGGCCTCCTTGAAGAGACTCCGGACTGCACACGTTCAATTCTTTCACTTGAGGGCGCAAGGCGCAAGCGCAAGGTAGAAGACATATGATGTCAGCAACTGTTTTCAATTGTGGTTCCATGCTGATAGGCGGACTTTTTGTGTCAGTTCCCACTTTCAAGCATAGCAAGCAATGCTCGGGTTTGGCATGTCTGCGCTACGCATTCCACCACCGTGTGTTCTGAGCCAAGATCAAGCTCTAAAGCTTTAAACAAAATGACACAAAGAATCAAACCTTATGCGCCACTACCTATATTGATTGACTATGCTTGAATCGGCCAGAAAAGCGCGATCCTAGTGACGATGTTGCTAGATTTACTAGTTTTGTTTACTTTTTGCCAATGAATTTTAGATCGATCTGCTTAATAATTCAAGCAGTTATAGCAACAATATGTGTGACGTAGAGTATACTGATACATCCAATATACTACATGATATGTCTAGTACCTTTCCCGATAACAATACTAGCTTGTATTGCTGCCACACAACTCGTGCTGCAGTTATAGCAAATCGGCATCTGTTACAATATAGGCCTCATCGCCACATTCAAATAAAGTTTCATTCGGAGGGTGCCCTTTTGCTATAAGTACTCAATCTAGTTGTATACCAAATGAATCTTTAGATTTATTGTTTAATACAGTAGCAGAAGTAAGTGCGTTTGTTCTGTTTCAAAAAAATCTGGGTTATCACTTCAACTTAAACCTAACCGACTCAGTGTTTTATATAATTTCATGTTTGGTTGTTTGAGACCAAGCTTTCTTGCAGTACCGGTTCTGTCCTGAAGTTATCTGTTCTATGAACAAATAGCTTTTGAAGCATGCTTTCCTAAAATCATTGCCTCTTCTACAGCAATATTACTTCCCCCCACCTTTCGGACTAGACTGGTTAAAGGAAACAGAAAACACAAGTTGCACAAAGTGAAACACTATTCCGTTACCCTTTTTTTCTGATAAAAGGCCAAGCCATGTTCTATCCGTTCCTGTAGCAATTATTGTTGAGTCTGCTGAGCTAAGTATACACTTCCAACATCATATTGTCTCTCAAAAGTGCTGTTAGATACATCAGTATCAGTAATGCCTACTGAGTGTTGAGATATATCAAATGTTTCAACATGTGCAGTCATATTATCCGTGAATTAGGGGCCTACAACAGAAATGAATCCAGGGTAACTTGCTACATCAGTAGTGGTTGTAAGCTACCCCACAGTTTCTTCCTAAACCCAAAGTTGGATTTAGTCCACCTCGTGCGCAATAAATAGCAGACAGCTTTAGTTTTATCATTAGCAACCAGAATGAAAAACAATGGCTATATGTGACTCAAAAACAAAAATGGGAACGAGCGTTGATATATCAGAATTCCAAAAAAGTACAAACATGCGTTGTTATCCTAACTGCTAAACAAGCAGCCTAATACACCACCACGTGCAAACAGTGACTTCGCAGTCGACTATGCATTTCGTCTTTAAACGGCCACCATGGAAAAATATATATGATATTCTGATAATGTGCCGCCTTACGTTTAATAAGTGAGTTTGCGTGTTGTCCACTTAAAGTGCCTTTTCTATTAGTTTCTGCTATCAAGTGAAATTCATTTATATGCTTTTCAATATTCTTAACATCCGCGTACACATCCTCAATAGCTTTGTTTGCCTTTGAAACATGCTCAGAATAAGAACGATCTAATAAGCACTGTAAGGGTTTTGTTTGCTGTGAAAACAAAGAAGCACCTTAGCATCTACTGCCCATAGGAATGCGGTTAGCTTTTCCTGCTCATCTGATACTATAATAGAACTCTTTTCAGAGCCCATAAAACCTTGTCTTTGGCATCTAACCAAGCCGACTCATTACCTAAGTGTTCAAGCTCCGCTCTAGTAAAACCAAGTGCCCCCCTTGCGATGGAAGTAATATCTCGTGTTCTACTTTTAGATTTACTTCTAGTATTTGCTCGCTACCTGTTTTATCGATCAACTCTGCCAGGTCTTGCCAGAGCACTATCTAAATCATCTGGAACAGTAATGTGGAATACTAGTTTGCGCTAAAACTAGTACTCTTTCATTAGCAACAAACCCGTCCATTTCAACTAAGACTTGATTAAGTGTTTGCTCTCTTTCCTCTTTCCATTAAAGCCACCAGCCCTGCTTTTTGCAACTGCATCTCGTAGATGAAAATGATGCAAGGAGCATAGCATGGCTAAACATATCACGTAGTCTACTTGCTGCAGTACCTACAAACATTTCAAAAATCAGAACCTGACACGGCAAAAAGAGGCACATTGGGTTCACATGCTCTAGCTTGAGCAAGCATACACGGCCACTCATTAGCCAAGAGCTTGCTCTTAGCCACCAACATGGCCTGAAGGGTCTGTGATCTCCGGCAACCGTTGAAGCTCGTCATGGAAATGATTCCAGGCCTGCCAGCTGAAACACCATCTGCAGACCAGCTCCCCTGAGTGTCCAACCGTGACAAAGAGGGGCTAGGAGTGTCCTCAATAAATTAATGAAGTTCCAACAGTCACCCCCTCCGCCAACTCCCGGTTTTGCGGGTATCAATAACATGCAACATGGATTGCGGGTCTCTTTTTCCTAAAAACCCAAGCCCATCAACGCATTTCAGCCTCCATCTCCTTCAGCTCTTTCTCAGTGAGCCTGTCAGCGACCTGCCAAGTGGACCACATCTTGCATCTTGGTGGGTGGACGCTCATCCATCCTAACTAGAACTTGTCTATGCGGACTTTTGATGTCACACCCAGCGCTCTGCAATCTGAGCAGCCTCCAAGGACCCATGTCAAACTGCGGAGCAGGAGAGGTTGCAGTTTGCTCAAGCGCAAACCTTATTTACGCCAGTATGAGGAGCTTTGAGCCTTGCAGCATGTATTCACATGTCACAAAGGCTTCAAGGGGACGTTCTGTCCAAAGAACCTACGCGCTTTCGGAAAGGTGGGCGGAATCCTAATCGCTGATTGGCTCGCGCCCTGGGGCTCTGGGGCTGCGAAGGGCTCCGACCTCGAGGCTCAACAGCTCCAGCAGCTTCGGGAGCAACCAGGAGTTCTGGACCAGGTGCTTCTGAATGAAGGCCTCCGCAGTCGGCTCCTCCCAGGCGATTCTCGGTGGCTCCTGGCGAAATGTTCGATTTTTAGGTTTTGTAAGGGCACTCACCGGCCTGAGCACTTCCAGCAATCTGCTGATCCAGCTTCTTCTCCAAGCCTGCAAGCTCCCGCAAGTTGGCGTCCACGAGCCGCTCAACGTCCTGACTTGCGGCAACTGTGAACGGTGGAACAATTACAGACAACTGGGAAGGGTTCCAGGGTCACGCTGCATCTTCATCCGTTGAATACCTGATGGCTCCTCTTGCAGAACTCTTAGAAACCGATCCCACTGGGGTTCAGCAATCACAGAGTTCGAAGTGGCACGGCTGAGTCAGTGAGCTTTCTTCGTTCTTGGCAGTCCGTCAAAAGCTTTATCTGTCTTCAGTCCTCCACGGGAGGCGTCTCGCTCTCCAACATCCTGGGTTCCGGAAGTAGCGGTTCATCTAGCGAGTCGGTGGTTGAGTTTTACCTCATAGGACCTTGAACAGCCTCCTGATATGACAGACACGTTGTGGCTTGCAGATGTGCATGTGGAACAACTCGGCAAAACACAATCTGATGCAAACTGAACATGGCACCGGCGCAACGCGTGGTTCGTCACACATTCAAGCCCCTCAAGTTCGCCAAGCATCTTCTTGGCTGTGAGATACAGGCAGCCTTCGTACCACTTCAGCCTGATGGTGAATGTTCCCTTTCTTTCTAGGGAAAAAATGCATTGCACGCGCCTTGGTATGAACCCCGAATTCTCCTTTCTTTCATATATACCCTTTATTTATCTATTTTACAATGGGTCCATAAGGCTTTCCCTGGGACACGAAAGGAATAAAAGGCCAGGGTCCACTCCAAAGGCCCATGTAATTTTCTTTAGAGTCCAAACTGCTGCTTGCGGCATCTTGCTTCCTTGTTTCATGCACGACAAGATCAGAGCAACTCCCCTTGATCCTTTCTTGGGTACAACTGGCGGGGCATGTTTGCAGGAATGGGCCTGCTCTCCAAGTCTGCGTCGTTGTTCGTCGGCGGTGGTTGCTCGTCCCGGGCTTTTTGGACACGCCTATGCAAAGCATTCCCGCCAGCCACTCGGCACGTGTTCAAGAATGACGGACTGCATCAGCCACACCGACATGCCGAAGCTAGCAACGCCACGGTGGATGCAAACCAGCCACACTCGACGCGGCAAGCAAGGTTCATCAAAGGATTTCCTTGTTCCCTTGCAGTTTCTTGGGGCATCCGCCGTAACATTCCACCGAGGCTGCCGCGAGCTGTCAGGTCGTGCATCTTGCGCTTTGTTGCCAATGGCCCTTATCTCCTGAGTCAAGAACTGCACCTGACAGGGCAACCGAGAGCGAAGGCAAGCAAGAAATCACTTCGGCTGAAGGGCAGCCACAAATTGATGGCGATGCCCCTCTGCCCAGAAAATCTTATCTGTGTGGATGATTGAATATTGGGCATCTGATAATGTTCTCAAACAAATTATCGGTTGAAGATCCAACCCAGCCGCATTCAAGCATGCAGAGCCACAATAGACAACCATTAAAGGCACACATCCGCGCCTTTGCAAGGAACTACTGCCCAACTTGGGGTATTTGACCGCGCCACGACATGCCTCCATCGGCTTGGCCCCAGTGAGCGCAACATGTCAGAAGTGGATCAACCTCGGAACCTGAGAAAGAAAAGCACCCGCCGCCAACCTGCGCTTGCGGGTAACAAGTACGGGATGGTTCAAACTTCGCTGCCCAAAGTCAAGCTGATCGTGCAGACAAGGCAAACCTTCGTGCTTTACAGCGCCACCCCTAAGACTCTCCAGTTCTGAATTCGCTGCAAGCAACGTAGCTGCAGATGGAGCAAGTGGGCTCCTCCCGCTTCAAACAGCCAAAAGGCTGCTTCTGGGAGAGCTCATTTTTCGATCTAATACTTGCATTAACGAAGCCAAAACCATTCCAAAGACATGATATGGACATTGCCTTCCACACTTATGATTCGCTTAAGGCAGAAAAGAGTAATTGCAAGCAATCCTTCTTCAATCATGCCGTGCCTTCTCGGCCCAGTCACTGCTGCTTGGCTCATAGTGGCGTAGCTTCCTGACAAGTCTGCCATGGCTCGGGAATCAAGATTGCTTTCTGAGCAACTGACTGTGACAAGCGCCTCTTTGAGCATCTTTGGGCCGGATCGCCGAGTTGGAATCAGCCGAGCAGCGATTGAGGACATACAGTTGAAGAGGGTTGCTGGCAATGGGCGCCCGGAAATCGTCAATGCACCCTAGCCCAAAACGCGCAATAAGTGAGCCACCTTCTCGGCCAAAGGCTTATATGCTATTTTCAGATCATAGCCAAGAGCCCAAGAAAGAAAACCCCCTGTCCGAGCCTCTTGAGGCGCTCCACAATGAGGCGCGGCTCCTGCAACATGAGCGCCCGAATATGCTTCAATCACTCGCAACTGCAGCAATCCACCCTCAAGGCTAAAAGTACTAAAGCAATCCGATTTTCGGTGGGACACCGCTATAAGGGAACCACGCAATCAACCTACACAAGGATCTTGCAGGTTGATGTTGAACAAAAGTGGCAACTAGCAGACAACAGAATTTGCGCAAAAGGTTAGTGTGCCAGAACCAGCTGAAGTAAGATGACGTGGTCAAAGGACGTTCAGATGAGACACTTCTGAGTTACGGACAACTCAAACCCGACAAGCGAAGACATGACAAAGTGAAGAAATAGCCAAGCAAAGACATTGCCAACTAAAGAGATAGATAAGCAAGGACAAAGCCTACGAAGAGAGAGAGCAAATAGCAAAGCAACGACGCAGCAAAGCAAAGACATAGCCAAGCAAAGGCAAAAAGCAACGCAAATACATAGCAGGGCAAAGGCGTAGCCAAGCAAAGACAGAACATATCAAAGACATGGCAGATCAGCCCTCGCACTTTCGGCTGCTCGAGCTTCAAACACTTTCTTTTGTTTGCGATTTTGAAGTTGCCGGATCTTGAGCATGTGAGCCTCTTGTTGGCAGCCTCAAAAAAGTGAGCTCTTTGCACACTTTTGGTTTTGGTGGGCCTGCCCTACTGGCGCTACAAGTGCTACTAGTTTTTGGTCTATTAGTGCTACTTCTATTCTTTCTGCTACTACTGCTACTACTGCTGCTGCTACTGAAAAGGGAGACCAAAAGGAAAACAACGTTTGTTTGTTTTTTTTGGTTTTTTTTTTCTTTCTTTTTTTTGGGGGGGGGTCACCTGAAAAAGGACAGCACACCCTTTTGGGCTTGGTTGGAAGAACATATCTTGTCCAACCCAAACTCAGGGCCCAGGGGCGTGCCCATGGCCGGGTGCCAATACTCTAAGCATGTTCAATGCCCTAAAACCGAAGCTTCCCCCGGGTCTTTCCAAAGTGGCCGGTGGCTGTGTATCCCATTAAACTCCTGGGTCCTGGTGGTGGTTTGGGGTTCGGGGTTTGTATAAAAGAACAGAACAGTAAAACAAGTACATAGAGGAGACCAAGTGCCTTGCAGTTTTCTTGTGCCTGGCTTTGGTTTGGGGCTGGTGCCTGCGCAAAGCCTTCAAGCGGGCAGGCACGATGACCAATGAGGACCGGAGTTATTGATGCTTCAAGTGCCGGAACCTGTTGGCTGGTTTAGCTGGCTGCTAACCACTTCCCCACACAATCTGAGTTGGGTGGACCCCAAGCGCAGCTGAATTGCCCCAAACCGACATTCTGCCCTGCTCCTTCCCAAGCAACGACAGCTATGGGTCAATGCGCCAACCCTTGCTTTGGGGAAGCTTTAGGGCAGGTTGGTGGGTTCCAAGCAGGTGCTCGGGGATACTCCTTTGGTTTGCAAGGCGCCTATCTGGGGCTGTTCCCTCGCCACGTGCTTAACAACTGTCAACAAACGCAGCCGGAGCTCAGTTGGTGTGGGTGTTGGCAAGGCTGGGTCGTGTCTATAGTACCTTATAGTGCCAAGTCGGAGCAAAGCGGAGGATAGCAGAGGCATCGCGCACTTGCCACTGGCCTGATAGATCCTGGCTCCAATCTGTGCCAGCCTCAGCATGAACATGCTCAATCCTGTTTACGTGTTTTTTGCCACAAGAAAGTGGCTACAGCGTGAACTCGGAAAGCCTGCTGTTCAACACGAAGCCTCTTCCAAAGGCGAATTGCAAAACCTGCCGTTGGTAGGGTATAGCAAGTAACACTTAGTTCTCTGCACCCCCCCCCAGACTGAACAGAACGAGAAACTGGAAACCAAACAAAACACAAACGCACATGTCGTGGTCTCGGTACAGAACGCTTGGCCTCGGGCCAAGAGTCGCCCGGAACTCTCCGAGGGCGCCACTCCGGGCGAATCGTTGAGCTGGAAGCCTGACTCTCCACAGACTCCAGGTACTGCCTGCAGCGCCCATGCAAAAAAAAAGAAGAAGAAGCAACAAGCGGCAATGGCGTAAACATGCCCCAAAGGATGCAAGGTGGGAGAGCAAATGAGGGAAGAACAGCTTGCCCTACATCATCTTTCAACTCAACATGAGGTGTGTGTTCAACTCCAGTCCTTAGCAAAATTGAAAGGCTGGTTGCTCTAGAAAGCCGTCGCGGAATTGTTCAATAGAGCAAGCCGGCAGAAATGATCAATCGCCGCTGTGTTTCATGTGATGGCTGCCCACTGTCAGAAGGGCAAAGTCGCTACAGTCGTTACACCAGTGCTTGAACATTTTTGGTGGCATCTGATGCAGCAAGCGCACGCGCGCACACACACACACATGCAGCACGAAGTGACACGCATGGCAACTTCAAAGCCAAAGACTCTGAAGCTGGGCGCCTTCGCTGCAGGGCATGGCGGCCACGTTGGCCCTTGTGCTTTGGTCGCTCGTGCTCCTAGGCGCAACTGCAGTTTCCATACCCGAGAAAGGGGACGAGGAGTCTCCAATTCCACCAATCCTCAGAAAAGGGACCTCCAAGGGTTACTTCCACGTGCAAGGGACTGGGGATGGCTGAGCGTCAAGGCAACCCAAGATCGCTGGTTCACGCCAGAGGCTCCCCGTGGCAGAAAGTGCAGGTGTCGCCTTTCTTGCAGGACTCAGGCCTGGCACGACTCCCCTGGCCCAAGGCCTCGATGAAAGAAAAGTCTTACCCTGCACGGAAAAAAGGGCAGGTGTCAGGTAATGTTGACCCCACACGCATCAACCCCAGTTTATTTATATGGGGGCATTCCCCTCCAAAAGTGATTTGAATCCCCACATTTCACCCAGAAGCACCCCCGTATTCAAAAACTGGTGTTTGTTAATCTGGGAAAACATCAAATGTTTGATCATGATTATAACCTGGCGAACTTACAACCTCGGCTTCGGTGGGTTCCGTTGTTCCTGCCCACTTGCCCAGTACCCTACCCCATCAGCCAGGATTGCTAGAAGTTTGGCTGGACGACGCGTTTCTCAATGCGGCCATGGATCATCTTGTCCGACACACAAACTTGAGTCGCGCATGATTCGGGCAAAGTCACTCCCTCCGGTTCGTGCTAGCACTCGCTTGGCAGGAGGATGGCAGTACTATCCCCAGTCCCATGTCCGGCCTTTCGGGTTTGAACTTGTTGCACGGCTTGCAACCCCTGTTGTGCCCGAGGCTCCCTGGGTTGCCTCAGCACATCCCCATGTTGGCCGGCCAAGCCGTGCTACGGCGCGACACCCTTCACTTCAGCATCTCACTCTCGGCACCATTGCTGTGATGCTCAAGATGCGCAGTCGACTTGCATGGCATGGATCTGTTCCACGTGACGCTCAGCCCTTGATGTGCAGTGAGCCCACATCACTCGCACAGCATCAAGTTGAAGCCCCAGCCCCTGCACTTGATGCACCTTGCAGATGCAGATGGGATGCTGATTTGGGGATCTTGAGGCCCCCGGCGAAGAGAAGGATCACTGCTTCCTGCAAGAGAACGCATCATTTTCTCCTGGCTGCTGAGCATGCGAAGGAGCGGGGGCAAGGCGAGGCTTGCAAGCACAAGGACATTCGCAATTGAATTTGTTCAGCAAATGTGTTTGAGCCCTGCCGCCTTTTGGAAATAACCTGATGTTGATCAGCAGTTACAACACAAATCTCACGGACTTTGAGATGCACCATTTGCCCACCACAAGCAAACCCATCCAAGTTGCCTTGTGAAGTTGCGGCGCTTACTCCCTGGAAAAGGTCGGAAGTAAATCGTGACCGTCACTCCTCAGGGCGGAAGTCGAAAGTAAATCGCGAGCGTCGCGTGGTAAGGGAGGTTGCTTTCCATCTTTGCGCATTTATAAATGGAGATCAAACTGTCCTGGCCAATCACATCCTCTAAGCCCCAAGTACAAAAAGCGTGGCGGTAGCATGCGGTAGCCCATTGCGAGTATCCCTTGAGTTTCAGGCCCATCCATGCCATCTTGTCCGAGAGAGACGTGGGACTACATATGTTTTGCCAAGTGGAAATGGTGTACTTCGCTAATAATTCTGAAGATCCAAGAGGCGCTGCATCAAAACCCGCCACGACAATAGCTTTGCAGATACGACAGCAAACAAGGCGTTGGTAGCTCGTAGGCCGGTTGCAGTAACCCAGCGGCGCCTATCTAAGATTTACGGCAATCATCATGGTTTATATGGTCCTTGTTGTTCGTCCCTACTGAACCAGGTGGTAGAGCCACCTACTAAAATGGTGGGCAAATGGAGTGGTTTTGGGCGTTGCTCAGAAATTTGGACCTCAGCGAGAGGAGATGAGACCCAGAGGTTGCAAATGCTTGCGCAGAGGTTTAGAGGTTGCACAGCCCGAGCCGTGGATCCACATCACGGCAAAAAGGGGAGGGGGCTCAGGTGGGTCAAATCCACTGCGGCATCGGCGGCGATCAGAACCCTGGCTCATAGCAGGGAACCTGATGCAAAAAAATATGAATCCCTAGAATGTGTTTCGATGAACAGGCAGGATCACGGCTGAACCTCAGAATTTGCCAAGCTAGCTTACTCATTGCCCAGAGCTTCCAGTTCCCACACCATAGTAGGTAACCCTTCAGGTTTCTTACTTCTTACCCCTGGGTTTCACATCATGGTATCTCCTGCTTACCTATAGTGGCTTGCCCGGAAGCACTGGCTTCCCCCACACATCCCCACACCAGCAAAGTGCCAAGCCCGAAGGCCACGGAACAAGCGCTTCATGTCTTCATGAAAGGCTCCCAAGTGCTGGCAGCAGGCACACTGCATGCCTGTCATTCTATCAACTTATTTGCAGGTCAGCCAAGACACTGCTGTAGATGGACAAAATCCGCTCGCACCACGACATGAAACCAGGATTGAAACCATTGTTTGTTGGTATTTACGGGGGAATCATCAATCCATGTTTCTTAGGTGGTGCAGGTGGGAAATGCCCAGGAATACAAGTTGCGCAGGGTCGATTTCCAGACACGGACCAAATGGAAATTTGGCTTAACATCAACAAGAAATGGCCATAAAAGCACAGTGAAAGCATCCGATTCCTTCAGATCTTCCATTCCCAACGCAGCTTGATTATTGAGCGTAGAGATTCGCACGCTGCTCAACGCGCTTTTGAGCAACACGTATACCGTATACCTGAATAGGCGCCCCGCCTAAAGAAATTGAAACTTACAGTATATTTTTGTTACGCGGGACACAGCTGGCGCCAGCCAAGGCTCTTCACACGGCTCAGCTTCAAGACGCGATGATGACTCGTGTGAGCACATGCACTCAGTTGAGCACAGTGTAAACTCTCTGAGCCAAAGCATGCTGCGAATCAAATATGGCGTGGCAAATGCGATATCTGAGCTGCAGCCAACACAAGGTGCGTAAGCACAATGTTTGCCCTGACAGCGAAACTGCTGATTTGCGCAATGGGGCAGAAGGCAAGCGGACAACCTCCAACATTGCTCCCCGCGCCTCACAAGGTGTCGCTTTTGGCGCGCCATCTTCGCACGGCTTGCGCGCTGAAAGCTGGACGGGTGCCTAGCCGAGGCAAGGGAAAGGAGAGCGAGTGACAATCGACGCACAGCCCCGGCTCACTGATAGGGACAGGGAGGAATCTAACGAGAAGAAGAGATGCGTAAGCTTTGAGGATGCTCTGAGGGTGGAGAAAGGATGGGAGAAAAGAGCGGAGTAAATGCTGGGGAGAAGAGCGTAAGCCAGTGATAATAGCCAAGAGTTGGGAGAAGTGGAGAAAAGAGCTTGTAAAGGTCATGGTCCCCCTTTTTGGTCCGGGGCGGTGCTCATTTCTGTGTGTGGGGCACCGCCCGTCACGCCAAGGGCATAATGCTTGTGCCCTCATTTGCTGCCGGTGCGTGTGCGTGCGGGACATAACCTTGAGATGCTCAAGGTTGCCCCCTCTGCAAGCTGCCCTTTTCCGGGCCTAGTACTGCAGCGAGGGATCGGTGCGGGAAGAGCCTTTTTGGGTTGTCTCGCTGGCTAGGATGTCACGCCCTTCTGCCGGCCCGGGTAGACTCGTCTGCGCAGGTGCGGGTGGCGGGCCTGACTAGCTCGTGGGGCTCCAAGTTGGGAAGCGCGTGCTTCTATTGATTGCGGGGCCGGCCTTGCCATGACGCGCACGCGTGCTGGCGCTGAGCAGGGTCCCAGCCCTGAACCCGGGGGATGCTGGTTGGAATTGGCTGAGTGCACCCAACCCGTCCCGCACACACACACACACACACACACACACACGTAAAGGTCATGGTAATACTGTGGATGGACAAAATCTGCTCGCACCGCTTTGAAACCATGGTTGAAATCAGAGGTTGTTGGCATTTACAGGAGAGATTGAATCAAAAACCAAGGTTCTTTCGCTGCTCGCTACCTATTGAATCTGGATGCCTCTGAAAGGCTCGGAGCCTATCGCCAGAGAACTCCGGGACGACCCTTAACTTAGGAAGGATTGCTAAAGCAAGAGGGGCTCCAGCTAGCAAACTGGCTTTTGCACTGCGAAGTGGGTGGCCACAGTCGCCGATAGTATGTAGGGTGACCATGGGTCTTCTGTCTTCTGTCGCGCTGCTCCCCAACGACCAACTCCATTAGCCTATCAATCAACCAAACTCTGCTCTTTCATTGTCCCACCTTGGTCTCACTCCTGATTGAAGCGCTTCACAGCACAAGCACCATAGTCACTATAAGTGCTGACTGTTGTGACATGTTTTGCCGCCCACTCAATACGTGCCAAAGAAAATGCGATCACTTCGAAAATCGTATGGTATCAGCCGCCAGCTGTACATGTGCCTGGCGCGCGTCCAAAAGCTAATTGGAGAAATCCTGTCATCTCCTGGCAGGACATCCCCCGTCTCAGAACGAGGAAGTCCTCGCATTACTGCCTGGCGCCTGGCATCGCACCCTAGGCCCAGAGCTTGTGTCCCTGGGTGACATGTGGGGATTCATCACTTTTGGAGGACAACTCCCCCAAATCAAGTGATTGATCTGGGGTCAACATTAAGGCACAGCCGCTGCGGCTTTCTTGTGAAGGGGGCAAAGTGTTCCGGGAGTCAAGCCTTGAAAACGGCGTGCACCCAGCCTTGATGGGACGCCCAAGGCTACGCCCTTTAGTGAAAGACCGTGCCAGGTACGTGAAACACGGTGAAGTCCTGCAGTGAAGCTTGCTATTTTGTCTAGCAACTCCATTTTCCCTCGCAAAATGTGGTCTTCATTCATTCCAAAGAAGCCTTGATCATTGTGTGTCACGATGCAGATGCATATTGCAAGCTGACAGCATGCACAGCCTGTCAAACTTGCGCAGCATCACTTAAAAAGCGAAACGATCGGACTCATCACCAGCTGATCTCAACATGTGACTTGCTGACTTGAACAGCCCTATCAATCTGGGCTGTTCAAAACATGCTGGCAACCCAACCCATAACCCCTATTGAAAAACAAGAAGACGGGGGACCCATTTCGAAACCCAAGCTAAGGACTGAGGATTGCCTTTGAACATCTTTGAACAGCCAACTCAACCACTGTTCAGCCAACTCAATCACTGTTGGCTGAGAAGGTCACGTTGGCAATTCATGGATTTGGTTTCAGCAACAATCTTCTTCGGTCGTCTTGAGCACCTTCCATGAGCGCAGTCCTTTGCAAGGTTCGAACGACCTTTTGGTTGCGAAATCCATTTCGCGCCACCGTTCGGAAACGCTGGTTTCTGATTCGATTCCCCAACGTAAATACCAACAAGCCTTATATATGGTTTCATTCCCATGGTAATTCATTTCGCGGTGCAATGAGGCCGATTGAATCGTACCCTTTGCTTTTCATATCTTTGATGGGCCCAGATTTCCTTTTCCCGGTTGCTTTCTGCTTGTAGTGGTTTAATGCGGAAAACACATTAGTTGGCAAAAAGATAGAGTCCTAACATCCAAGCAAAGTGCATCAAAGTTTTATGGTGCAGTGGAAGACATTTCGCAACCACCAGTAGCTCGACTGGAAGTGCGAGCCTTCGAAGGCTCGTCGAGCCCTCGGCCTGCGCCAGCCGCAGTCCAAGAACCCCACCTTTAAGCGCCTTTAAGGGGGAGGGTGGGGTGTCAATTCCATTTTGATCTAGTATTATCTAGTCTTCCTTAAAAAAGGCAACACAAAAATGATTCCATTTTTAGGGTGAAGATATTCCAAGTTCCGACCGAACTCCATGCCTCTCCATGGCCGCTGAGAGCCGGAAACAAACAGAATGCGCCACAGAATGTCAAAGCGGGAGCACGCGGAACACGCCATATCAACAGACTTGTGTCCAAAGAAAATTCGCAGTGTTCCGTGCGCTGTGTTTAGGCCCACTACCTACGATGTTTGGTTCCATTGAGCCTGCACGTCAGCGGCAATGCATAGTGACACGAGTCAGAGCAGTCGACAAACTCAATTTGGACTGGCTAGTCAGCAGGCAGGCATGTGTCCAAGCATCTCTTTTGACCCTTGGCACTTGTCTGGCTGGTTGCGCAGTCACTCTACTTGCTGCCTCTTTCGACCTGCGCCGCAGGTGACCATGTCAGGCCATATCAGGCAATTTCGACCTGTGCTGGAGGTGACATTGGGCTTGACATTGCCACATCAGGCAATATCAGGCAATGGCACTTGCCTGGCCGGTTACAAAGCACTCTACCTGCTGCCTGTTTCGACCTGCGCCGCAGGGCACATTTGGCTTTCCCAATATCAGGCAATAAGAGTTGCTAAAGGCTTGAATACACTTGTCTGGCTTGCTGCTGCCTCTTTCGGCTTGGCATTGCCATGTCATGCAACGTTCAATCAAAGCATCAGTTCCAACTATCAAATGAGCGTGTTGTTTGGCAATGCTCATGAACACCGGGGCCGCGCAGTGCCGCATCTCGTGGTATAGTATAAAGGCATAAATAGGCCAAACCGAAATGACACGCTTCTTTGGGACGCAGTGCGTCAAGTTGTTCTGCTCCAAATGACCATTTCCTTTTCACTATGCATCGCCACGAGGTGCCACATCGTCTTCACTCGTTGAGCAGAGCTTTGGAAAAGAATATCTATTGAGCGACGGAAGGCTATCGCAGCACGTGTTGCTGCAATAGCCTGGATGATCATTCAACTTTGGCTTGCTGCAGCATGAGCAAGGGCATCGCCGCATCTTTTGCTGCAGCAGTTGCCTGGCTTATTTGCGGCTTGCTGCAAGCCATAAGGACACGCACAATAATAGCGTAGGGATCCTCGGGGCGAATGAAGTGCTTCTTTGGCACAACTCACGGAAAACCCATGCTTGACAGTCCGTCACACCGGTTTGCCAAGGAAGTTGTTCTTTAGACGCACAAGTTTCACACGAGGAATCTCTTGTCACTATGCATCTCCCCGTGATGTTGCTTCGTCTGGATTCACAAGCGCTTTCCTGGTATGAAACCCGCATGGCCAACCCCTTTTGGACAATTTAGACTTGAGGAGCGGGTGAACGAAAGCTAGCAGTTGTTGCATGAGATGGGTCGGTGACAGAGTGGATTCATAGGTAGCTTGTGTACAACGAGAGGCCCGGCAAGATTCGTAGGATGCGACACGCAAACGCACATGGTGGCGTGGCAAACCTTGAAAAATGAAAACAACGAGAGGCGTCAGAAGCTGTCTTAAAGCACCTCTGGGTTCTGCATGCAGCGTGTGCAAAGATTCTTGCGAGGTGGTTTACCGAGAAGACTGAGGTCTCAAATGAACAAGCTGAATCGGTGGAACATGTAAAAGTTCGTAGCACCAAGTCCAAAACGGGCAAACCGAGACTGCTGAACACTGAGCCACTGCCCGGGGGGGGGGGATGGACCAGGGAGGAATCGAGCCTGAGACCCGGGGGGGGGGGGTCTAAATAATTGATGTTTTTCAATCTTTTCGGCTCAAATAATTGAAAAAATCAATCTTTCGGCATTTGAGCCCCTTACCTTGCTTACGCAAGGAGAAACTTCAGCTAGCTAAAGCTAGCTTTCGTGACAAGCATCAAAAAATCATTTGCAATGGTAACAAACATCTCAAGCAGTTTTAGAAGACTCTTCTGTGCTCTACTTGTGCTACTGAAGGCCGAATACTGCGTGTGAAATCTTGGTAGCAAAATGCGGCTTGCAGCAAGCCGCCGGAAGCAGTGCGGTGACACGCACAATAGTAGCATAAGGGACCCCTGGCTTTGAAAGTAACAAAGTATCAAATGAACTGTTGTTTTGGGACTGCTCAAGCAAAACCAACTGCCAAGAACAAAAATAAGTCTTTCCTGACAAGCAAATGCATTTTTGTTCCTGTCGCTCGACTTCAACATTCCCTCGTCTGGGCAAATGCTCCTTCGCGCTGCCTGCCATCAGGCGCAGTCCTGGCTGACATGCTCTATAGGAATGAGTGTGTTCGAGGGTGCAGCAGGGAAACCACCGTAACAGCACAATTGGTGGGTCCCCCTATTGTGACCCATGCTCTTCTGCTCTCCAAGCCCATACTGTCAAACCGCCAAGCCCAAGAAACAGATTACAAGATGACTTAGCAGAACCCTCTAGTACATTCGCCAAAGAAACCCGCCAAACCAAAGAGAAACGTCCATACCATGAATAGTGGAAGCCCCCTTGTTGACACTTGACATTCCAGGAAGGCTATCTAAAACTAACCAAAAGAACAAAAAACAAAAGAACAGAAGTTCGGAAGCATGGACAACTGGCCGGCCGGAGGCTTCAAAAACAATCAGTTTCACTTGTACGCAAGCTGCAGGGTAGGACAAAGCGCAAACGGCTTTGTGATACAAGATTGATACACCCCTCCAGAAGAATCAGCTTTCAAAAGCTAGTGATAAAAGGGTCATCCAACAGCTTCACTGGGCAGGCCGTTGAAGCATCACTTATGTCAGCGCAAATTCATAGTGAAACAAACATGTTAAAATCGCTTAGGGGGGGTTGCGCCAGGTCAAGCATGCCGCATAAACCAGCACCCTTGCTGATCAGCCAACAAGCTTCCCAATAACCTCCTTGCCTTTGCAAAACGGGGATTGTTCGATCGCTCCTTGCTTTGGGTTCCGGCAACTGACAGCTTCAACTGCAGCACCTGTTGGACTCATTTGGGTTGGTCGGAAGATTCATAGCTGACATCTGGCCTTCAAACTGTCTTACATGATGTAACTGTGCAGTCCCTCCTGCACTGGCTCTAAACGCCTTCTTGTTGCCAGAAATGTTCTTAAGAGCCCCCGTAGAGCTCACGACTTTATCTTGAACAAACAGAGCGCAAGCGTTTGCCAGAAGAAACGCGAGGTAACGTTCAAGCGTGAACGTGCCGTATCTCAACCCTACCACTTTTGTCTTTGCAGTGACCTGAAGGGCCCCAGACCACGAACAAGGGTAGGCCACAACGGAAAGAGCTCAAAAAGAAAAACGGTGAATTGCTCAGGTTTGAATCAGCCAAACCGCTGGCCCCACAAACACATTTGTAGAAGTACAACATGACGTGGTTTTCCTCGTGGCCCTTTGTACTTCAACACATCGGAGCCCCAGACAAAAGAGTACACATTGTCAAGCTAACACATCGCAGGTCTCAATGCTGGCAAAACCGCATGCGCCTGACGGATCCTCCTGCGTCCGCAAGCAGCTCATTGCGTCTACTCTCCAATTGGCCCCTGCGCACCCACACACATACCAATAGCTAGCTTACCAGCATGCTCAACAAAATCGGCGCCCTGCGCGGCTTTTTGCTTCTCTGGCTCGGCCTTGTCGAAGTCGTCATCCTGGTCTGGCAGCAATATCGTGAGCCTTTTGTCAAGCTCGCCCGTCACGGCCTCTTTCCTTGGACCAAGGACGCACTTCGCGTTCTTGGGGGGCCACGCTGTGAGGCTGAACTTCATTGTGGCCCAGGAAAAGCACAATCAGCTCGGGGCTGTTAAGCCCTGAAGCTTCAAGACGAACCTTTGGACCCTACACTCTTTTTCAGTGAAACGCGCTTTCAGCAAAAAAACATCACACTTGGGCCCTTGAAACTGTCAAGTTGAAAGGGAAGCAGGCGGCCAATCCCTTCATTGGGCTCTGTCAAGTCTGTCAAGAGAACAGCCAAACCCTTGGGACCTTCACCTTTAACGCGACGCGCTGGGGTTGTTGGGTTCTTGGGGCTGTCAAGCTGCCAAGCGAACGGCCGAACCCTTGCGACCTTCACCTTTGCTGCTCGGGCCCTGGAGCCCTTGCATTATTCAAGTTGTCGAGCGAACAGCCGAATCCTTGGGACCTTCACTTTTGCCCAAGCGAAACGCATCGCGCTCGGGCCCTTGAGCCCTTGCATTGTTCAAGCTTGCCGAGCGAACAGTCGAATGCTTGGAACCTTCACTTTTGCCCAAGCAAAATGCAACACACTCGGGCCCTCGGCCATGGGGTATTCACATTTCAAGGGCTTCCAGAACCCGCTTCCCAAATACCAAAACGTGTGTGTGTGGTTTGGACTATGGCTATTTGCCTTACTGAGCTAGGTCTACGCGGGTTTCGCCCGTGGCTTTGCAGGGTCGATCCTTGAAACCGCATGGCAGGGACCGTCCGGACAGGCTAATGGACACTGGGAGAGTTCTTTGAGAACTCAGCACCTGACAAATTGAGAAGCCGGGCTGTCCCCAGATCCCGCTGAGTAAAAAAACCACCCGCAGTCAGCATGACCACACACATTGTGACCGCTGCGTCCCGCCACGTGGTAGTTGCGCCTGTCCAGCGCCCCGTCGCAGCGACAAACACCACTGATCGCCCCAGCACCAGCATCAATTCGGAAACGAGCTTTGCATTGACGGCATCTTTAGCAGCGACTGCCTTTCTAAGCTGCGCTCAAAGACGCAAGGAAAGCAGCTGCAGTGTGGGTGGCGGCGGGCTGAAGGCCAAGCAGCCTGCTGGGGGGGGGGGGGGGTGCAGAGAAGGGGGGGCGCCATCCGAGCAAAGGCACGAAGAAGGCGGGGCGCAACTTGAGAGTCTTCCCGCTCGCCCAGCGCGTCAACAAGCTCCCCCGCTTTGGCACGAACGCGTCGTTTCCAGCAAGGAAACTTGCAAAAGGCACGGGCCGGCCAGCCCTAAACCCTCGCATTTGGCAAAGCTCAAGTCTAGGCCAACCACCGGCCTGCTGCGGCGCCTGCGCCCCATGGCCGGCGTCCAGCAAGCACCCCATCAGCAAGGTCAAGGCGGCACGGCCCTCCAACAAGTCGAGCTTCACAAGCCTTGCCCCCGTGGCACGCGTGGCGCGCACGGCTTCGCCGGACACTCTGACCCAGCTTGAGCAAGCCAAAAGAAACATCGAGCATCCAGCCACGCAAGCGCCCCTCAGGCAGCCACCACAACTTCAGGCGCCACGGCAGGGCGTGCGCCAAGACAGAACGCAAATTACTGGGCCACGTGTGTTCGCTGTTGGGCTTGTGCTGAGAACCGAGCCCAAGCGGGTGTCCCTTTGTTCAACCACAGCGTCGTTTACTTTCTGAGTGGGTTGACCAAACAAATCGCTCAATTTTTCGTTTGCCCCAAGAATAGTCTCCTGAAAACTAAAACCGGGAATTCTGGGGGTGCCCCAGCTCGCCCCTGCGTGCCCTGAGGAGCGGGCAATGCCTCCAGCGACGCAGCCGCGTTGAAGAGGCTCTGTACTGCGCAGTTAACGGGTTTTTTCCTGCAGATTCCACTTAACACGCCCCCCCCTGAACAGTGGAAACAGCCAGCTGGACCCTCTTTAGCAAGCATCCTGGAATTCCAGTACTTACTTTTACTTTAGTATTACCAAGTCTACTTTAGTATTGCCAAGGCCCCCCAGTAGATTCCCAGTACTTACTTTAGCATTGCCAATTCTACTTTAATATTACAAGGCCCCCTCTCAGATTCCCAGTACTGTCTTTAGTATTGCAAATTCCACTGTGATATTGCCAAGGCCCTCCTCAGATTCCCAGTGCTTGCTTTAGTACTGCCAACCTTACTTTAATATTGCCAAGCCCCCCCTCTGACATTTCCAGTACTTTCTTTATACTTGCAAGTGGTTGGGCCGAGCTGTCCCCTTGGCCATGTTCTTGCTCTGGCTTTTGCGAAGTTCCAGCTCGTGTTCACTTTCTACTGCCTACATGTCTCAGCTGCATTTGTTCAGCTTGACTTCATTTTAGTAGTTTTCAGCCTTAAGTGGCCCGGAATACAGCTCGTAGGTCCCTGGGTGGGTCTCCTCCGATGCAGAAGGTAATTATGCATTGAAGAGGAAAATTGCCAAACGGAATTTTAAGGTGTGTGGGAGCAACCCCTGCAGCCAACCAGCGAGCTGGTGATGGCGAAGCCCTAAGATTAAAACTAAACTATAAACATTTGTGAGAACAATGCGAAACACTAATACTTAACATAAATCTAGATCAGCAACTCAACAACAAATGATGCATATTTCCAACATGACCGAGAGATGTTGTGGATGAAGAAGAAGCAAATCTGTTTGATGAAATGGTGAAATAAGCGATGACACACAGAGTAACAAGTGAAACCATCCCCGAAAGACAGACCTTTGAAGCATCAGTTAGCAATATAGGCTTTAACTTTGATGATTTTGACCTTTCAATATACGATAGGAGACGATGACCGGATGCTGGGGTTCAAACTGACAAACAAGTCTTGTTACATGAGTTGTTGCCTGACATGTTCGGTGAAGTAGCCCCCGACCTCACTGTTGTATGAAGACAACGAGGCAGACGCGCAAACAACACGACATGTAGCAAAAGATGGTACTGGTGGAATGTTCAGGTATAACCGGGAAGAAGAAAACATCATATGGAGAGAAAGCGCCGGACGATTTACGAAGCCTTATTGAACATCATCGTCACCAGCATCATCTGACAAGGAGAAAGAAAAGAAAGAGGAAAGCATCGAAAAACAGGCGATGAGAACTTATTGAACCCAGAGCGTCCTTCTGGGCAAAACGACAAGTAGAAGCAAGAAGCAGGAGCAACTCACCCGAAAAAGGAGCAAGAGGAAATCAATGCAACAGAAGGCAAATGGAGGCAAGGAGCAGGAGCAACTCGCCCGAAGAAATGGCAAGAGGTAATGAACGGAGTAGGGAGCAATGGAAATAAGAAGCAGGAGCAAAGCCCAGAAAGCGCTGACACCCAAAAGTAGCCGAGGCAACAATTATTAAACAACAACTTGAAGACAAGCTCCCTTAATACAATAAATAATATGGTGCCTTTCAATTATAATGATGGTTATTGTAGACATGATGGCAACAATGGTGTAGCATTCGCAAATGTTTTACCTGTCAATGCTTGTAGCATGAAATATGGCTAAAAACAAAAACATGTTTAATCTAGTTGCGTGAAGGTAAAGGAAGAGGATTATATGAAAGATAGAGACTTACCCGAAGAAAGGCTAGACAAAGCAGAACTACAGCTTTTGCTTTTCGAAAGCATGCTTTAGGACCGGGCAGCGTTATGATGACAAGCAGTTTGGAAGAACCATTGATGTCATGATTGAGATGAAGAAGCAACAAATGTTGAAACAATAAAACATGTTTATCAAACATTGATTTCACACTGTAAAGATAGCAGTATGTTGACAGACTGCAAGGTGGAACGTCATTTGGTGAATCCATGTTCTAACTGAACCCGGGTTGGAACATATTCGGGCGTTCGACATTTCTCTTGTTTTCTAGAACATCCAAGTTAGAACACCAACCATGGCCAAGTATATAAACAGTGATTTTGCTTCTCAGTCCGAAGCCATTGAAGAGGCACAAATTGTGAAACATTGTTGCGTACTGCGTTTCATGGAGTCTTGCAACTTGGCGTTTTGCTTGCAACATAAGTCCATTTATGAATGCGCTGTTTTGGCTTCTGACCACGGACCGTGAATATATATATATATATATACTCAAAGGAGAGGGAAACACAGTTTTCTCAACAACGGGGGAACCCGGGACCTTAAAAGGAACGAACCCCGCCGTGACTGCGACCTCTCCCTTAACCTTGTGGCAGCGCGTGCAACGCGCTCTTTTCTTGAGCCAAAGCGACATGTGATCATGTCATGCTTGGGCATTGAATTGTTTGTAAAACAACATGTTGCAAGTCATCTGACTCATGTAACCTCTGGGCCATAAATGTCATCGTGATAATTGACTCCCCCCTCATTGACGGCACTGAGGGAGTGTCTTGGGCGCATTACCACGCCAACTTGAAGTCAAGTTTACATCACAACGACTGACGCAAGTTATTCAAGCGTCGCCCAGTCACTTGCACACTTTTGGAAATTTTGCGGACATGCTGCAGCGCACTAGGCAGCTGCTTTAGCGGATCTGCTTCTACAAACGTCTTCAAGCTTCTCTGGAAGGTCAACACGAATGCCGAGCAACCGGATGGCATGATCCCACTTGTTGGGTGGAAGCGCTTTCGTGAAGATGTCTGCTGACTGCATGTCTGTTTGGACGTATTCTATCGTGATGTGTTCGCTTTCAAGCTGCTCTGCGATGCAAGCGAGGTTCACCTTGTGCGCGCGTTGTACACAGCGTAGCTTGGATGAGAAACCCTTCTTTGCTACGAGGATGGTCGCCTGATTGTCCTCGTGGATCTTGAGATGGAATGGTCTGTCCAAGATCAGCTCCCATAAGCTGAGCGCAGGAAGTGCCTCCTGGTACAGGGAGTACGCAAGAGACACGATCTCCGCCTCGGTCGTCGATCGGGAGACCGAGGTCTGCCTTTTAGACACCCACGCGAGGGGGAAATGCGTATGTGGACCACTCAAAGTCAAGAAGCCTCCGGACGTTGATTTTGCGTCTCGTTCTCCAGCGAAATCGGCGTCCACATAGAGAGACAGATGCAACTCATCAGTCGAATCCTGAACTGTGCCCACTAGCGTGCTGTTAACCGTGCTGTTTATGTAGCAGACAAGCCTATGTAGCTGCTTATCGCAGTTCCTAGACCATTTCTGAACAAAGGAAGCAAGGTCGCCAATGGGCTTGACCAGGTCCGGGCGTGCCAAACGGCCGAGCCATAAGGCTTTCATCAACACGCGGCAAGCGGCGAAGCCGAGCTCACCCTCCAAGGCGTCATCTGCAGGGTCTAGAGATCCAGCGGGACAGAATGGAGTGGTGGCATCACGCAACTTTTCAGTTTTTAGCTGTGCAACCTCAAGATATAATGCAACCGTTTGACGAGCATAATCTCGCATGTCGAACGCCATGCCCCCTTTTAATCTGCCCATTGCGGCATTAAGATCGGGTTCAGTTGGGTCCTTTGGAGCATCTATCAAAAGGTGATTCCTGCCTAGCACCCGATATATGTCTTCTGGGGGTTCTATATCAACCAGTCTTGTTAACTTTTCCCAGAAGTCTTTATGAAGGTGGCTGGGGCCGGCCAACGTCAAGTCGTCGACGTATGTCGTGGGGTGAAGACCTGTGCGTATTCCCTGAAGAATGCAGAAACATCATCCCTAGCCCAGCTGTCGCAATCCCTTGGCCACTCAAACGAAACACTACCCCCCTGATGGAGGACAGTCTCAGCGTGACGTCTGAATCTGGAGAACAACTCTCTCGACTCTCTAACCTTTTGCTTCAGTTTCTTTTTGAACTGGCTTCCTAACTTGGCCTTATTAAGGCGTTGCCATGCTGAACCTGATGTGCAGGGGATTGCAGCCCAGAGATTGGGTTTATCACAACCTTCTATCTGTGACTGCAATTGGATTTCTCCTTCATCTGTGCTAAGGTCGATGAACTCTTTAGCCAGACTAACATGAGGTATACGATGATTTCCTACCTCAAACTGCTTGGGCTGCGGAGCTTTAACCTCTGCGCTGCACGGCATGCCAAAAATTGGCAATGTATCTGGACGACCGTTCTTTGACGCTTCGGTGAGAGGTGTCGGCGGTACGGAGTCTAACATCACGGCTGCACCTGTGGTGATAACGCAATCGGACTGAATGGGTTTTAACTTGAACACTGTGAACCCAGTCCATGAATCTCCAAGTGAGCGAGTAGGTCGGCTACCAAACCAACCATCGTGAATGTTGTCTGCTTTGCCCCCCTGAAACACGGCACGAGTGGTGCGAGCTGCAGTAAATCTTTCTGGGGAAACGGGGCAATCCTCGACCTCCTTTGGGGATTCTGCCTTGGCATGATATGGTACCGAACCAAACAGTTGGCATTTTCTTTGAACACCCAAAAATCTTCACCTTGCGATGTAGCGGCTGTCGCTGGCGCGGAATCGAAAAATGAGGCACCGGGTCTTGAGGGAGCGGGCTCCCAGCTTCGGCTGCATCAAATTCATGCGCAACGTCTTCTGCACTAACTGCGATTTTAGGATCTTCCTCATGCTCGGATGCGTGGATTGCTCTGGCTAGCTCCTCATCCCCTTCAGTATGAACAATGGGAATGGGTTCCTTAGATTCAGTTTTGGCAGCGCTTTTTGCAGCTGCTTCAGCTCGATCTGCAGAAACAAGTTCGGAGAACCTCTTCTTGCATTCGGCGCTGTGAATCTTGGAATGACCGGTGCATGCACGGCAACCTGGCGTTTCCTTGAACTTGATGATCCTCTCAACAGTTATGTACACGGATTTTGACTTGACAGCGGATGGAGTCGGTGGGGCCCCAAAGGGGGCCTCTCGCAGGGGCAAAGTTGGGGGATCTGACCCGTCT